TGTATTTCCTATTTAATTGATGAGGTTATAAGATGAAGGAATAAACATAATTTTTGTTTTGGTGGGATAATGATGAAGCTTATTTTTTGAAAGCCACCTCTGAATATTATTTAGGTCATCATTTAAATTTTGAGCTAGTGTCTCAAAATCATATGAGGAAGATGAAATTTGAGTATCATGATCTGGCATGTCGTTTACGTAAAGTTAAACTAACAATAGTCCTAGAATTGAACCCTTGGGGACACCGCATCTTATTTTCTTCGGTAAGGATCAATGTGTGGCTATTTACCAAGCAAAGTTGCTCTCTATTCGTTATTAGGCTCAAACCATTTCAGTTCAATATCATGTATTCCAAATTGATTTTTTAGCCTTCTCAATAATATTATAATCTTATGATTAATCGAATCAAACGCTTTACACTTAATATCCAAAAATACTACTGCATTTATTTTGTTTTTATCCATATCTCTTCTGAATAACACATCTGAATAAGCGCGCCCACAATTCCATGTTTTAGTCGAAATCCTGATTAAAATTTTGATAATAGCGAGTTTTTATTCAGATATTTATATATTTGAATAAACACTTTTTTTTCGAATGCTTTGCTTGTAATGGGTATAGAATCGAAATTGGACGGTAATTTTCACACCTTTTTCCGTCTTCTGATTTATAAATCGGAGATAATCGAGCTAATTTTCAGTCGTTTATGTAAGTACCAGTGCTAAGGGACTGTCTGAATATAACGGACAAAGACTTTTCTGGCCTGACTTACCCAACATTATACCATCGACAAAGCATGTTTACGATCCGTAAATCATTTTCACAATCCGTCCGGATCGACAAACTTTTATGCCCTAACTTAAACACAACATCACCCATTGACGCTCTTTAGGGATCGTCAAAGTAGGTTCACGATCCGTAAATCATTTTCACGAACCGTACGGTTCGAACGGTTAGGAAAGCCATTTCACAGTCCGCACGGACCGGACGGATTGTGTTCAATATTTTACTATCTTTACGATCCGTATACGTTCGACAGTGTAGGACAACCATCATACTGACCGAGTTAAAAATGCATGCATTTTAATTTATGGCATAATTATTGATCAATGTCTGACTGAGCACACTTAAGCACAATTTGTTTCCTTGACTGTATTTCAAATATTTCTACTACATACAATTACAACGCTTCACTGATACAAGGTATAAGAGCAAAATCGTTATTTTTTGTATTAACTCTATATATAAAGTAAGAAAAAATATGTTGTGGTAATTTCCTCAAACGTTCTTGCTTTATTGACTTCTTCAACTAAACACGTTTGCAACATATGGTGAACGGAGGGAACGTGCCTGGGCCGCATTTCTTTTCTGAGCCGCTGCATTGAAAAGCACGCATTACACCAGTAGTACCATCCTTGCATGTGCAATACGTTGTCTCAGTGAGTATCTCCGTCGAATCATCTAAATGAAAACGCAGTGATAGAATCTTGAAACATTCCCCCACCATTTCAAATATATCAGAAAAAATGGATATTTGTCTCAGGCTGCCAGAAAGTGATGTTATATTTTATATCGTGAATTATTGTGTTCAACTACACGGCATAAAAAAAATAGCAAAACGAAAAGAATATGAGACTGCTAACGAGCACAAAAAGAGTAACGAAAATATTAGGAACGAAATGTGCACAAAGTTAAAGACAACCTGAAGGGATTCGATTTCAAATATCCAGTAATATACTAACAGTTTCTTTACCTTCAGAATCTTTCTTGTCTAGATGCCAACTTGGCAAACCAGAACACAGCCCAATGAAACACAGGATGGTGACAACTGCAAATACTTGCGAATAATTCATCATGAAGCGACTGAAGCAGAATCCGAAATTAGTTTAAACATTCCGATCATGCTAATGCTCAAATAGACCTCCTGAAGTAACATACAACACTATAATACAGTGTTTTCATGCACAATTTGACTAACATGCTGTTTTAGGAGAGGGAGATTGCGTGTTAATATTCTGAGTTTCGAATATCTAATCTTTTAAAAATGTACTCTATAAGGATAGCTAACACAATATGTGTACAATTTCAAATGGGCGGTCAATCGGTTTTTTTGAAAGCATTGGCCATCAACACAAAAAATTTATCTGTCTTCCATGAACTTTACAATGATAATAAAAATATAACTAAGAACTTACAAACTTTTTCAAAACTTCCTTTCCTTCTTGCAATGTTGTTTTCACTAAGTTCGCTACAAAATTTCAACCAGCAGAAAAGCTCTCTTCTATTTATAATGTAACTTTGATTCTCATTATCTCAGAATCGCGTCTATTTTTAAAGTGTTGACATATAATGAATTTCCTGTGTGTCTACCAACGCGTTACGCTGCACTCGCTGCCACTTGGTGCACTTCAATGCCTACTAAAATATACGATTATTCAATACTACTGATAATGACATATTGCATATTACATATTGCTTCATATATATATATATATATATATATATATATATATATATATATATATATATATATATATATATATATATATATATATATATATATATTTATTTGCAGCTGCTAATACCTTGAACATATTATTTTAATAAATTTGATTAGAAGTTTATCCATATAATTTATAAATAAAACTTTCCCAACAAAACAACGAAATAAGGTAATTTGCAAATAAAGAACTGAACTAACCTAATTCATTGAATTTATAATTTTTTCCCTTCTCCCAGAATATCAATAACTAACAGCAACAACGAGAGTATCACAGTATTACTGCTAACACGAAAATAAACAGGTTAATTTTAACTTGTATGTAAAGGCACATGTCATTCAGTCTTGCTTATATAATTGTGCCACATGCGCAATCATGAAAAGTTTTCAATCGCCAAAAATTAGTTTTATTCCAGGTTACTGAACAGACGCAAATGATCTGATAGATTACATTTCGACTGTAAATTGCTTCAAAAATTAGGTAAATTGATATACAATCTATCCTCCTCTTTACAGGGAGGTGAGCTTTAAACCTTGTATATAAGTAGCATATGAAACGAGACGAATAGAGCTTATGAATTTCCGGTTCTTCATGCAGTGTTCCGCGGAAAATGTTTGGTTTGTTTTCAGGGGGGGATTGCCCTCATGTTTTGACCAACTTTCCCTAGGATTTTGTTCAAGTCGTACAAATTTTTCCCGAAAACGTTATCGACGGCGGGGGGGGGGGAGGTAAAAAAAATTTGCGGACTAACATCAGCATATTCAAAATTGTTAAAAGTGCGAACCATTTTATAATTTTGACTTACTTCGACCATCTTTTAGCCCCAAACTTTTACCAAATTTTACCTTCAATTTTAAGCAAAAATCAGTTTCATTTTGACCAATTTGGGCAAATATCAATTCCATTTTGACGAACTTTGACCTACGTTTGAATTTTTGCGGGTTGTTACACCCTCTCCCCCAACACCTCCTATATAGCGACGTTCCTGGTTGTTTTTAGTACAAGATTTCTTTTGACATTTTCACAAACAATGATTTGATTCACAAAGTTCAAACAAAAAGGCAATTAATTAATGATATAACAGTCGTAATGTCAAATGTGACTGAATGATTTATGTAGAATGGGGAAATTACATGATATAGCATCTTAATTTTCGTTCAGAGATTTTTGGAACATCGCAACATCAAAATTTAGGAGACATTTTGAACCGAAGTATCCATGAATAATCCTTTCTTGCATGTAAGACACTCAAGACACAAAAGCAAAACAGCACTTTTATTTTGTCTTTCTGTCTTATGTGTCCTATTTACAATATTAATTCCTATATTCTATACGGGAGCAACGGAAAAAATTATAATTTCAAATGAAAAGGGCATAAATCCTGTGCATATCAACCAGTCTTTGTATACCTGCATTATCTTTCCAGATGTTCTAGAAGGATTTCGCGCATTCAAAGATTCTCGGATAAAAATAACTTTCAGACGCCTGTTCCGCTCCGTTTCTTTAAACTAGAAAATCCATGACATACGTTAAATTATAAAGAATCCCACAACATAGGCCACACGAACGTGCAACAAAGTATCGTAATTTGCATGCAATAAGTATAGAACTGAGCGAACTTATTTAATTGAATATATATTTTTCCCTTCTCGCAGGACATGAATAATAAACATCAGGGATTTACTGAAGTGGACACGAGTAAATCAGAACGATATTCATCACCCGTAATAATCGAGGGAAATCCAGGAAAATCAACAAGTAATTTGCATTCGTTTAAACTTTGAAAGGTTTTTGGAAGAAACTTTAGTATGCCATCGTGTCTCCAAGCAAATCGTTCCAAGTAATGTTGACAACCGGCAACAACGTGCAGAAGTGATTCAGGGTGTAAGCAGAACGAGCAGTCAGAACTTGATGAAATTCCCCATCTACTGAGGTTCTTTCGGGTAGGAAGGGTATTTTTCATATAGCGAATTGTAAAGTTGAAAATGTTCTTTGGTAGCTTTGGTTGCGATACCGACCAGATTGCGTTAAGTTGTGATAGGGAGAATTTAGAAACAATTTCGAAAAAGGAACCTTGACATTTCAAACGGTCCCTAAGTTTATTTTCTTGTTGAGAATGGAAAGTTTTTAAAACTTCTTTAGTTGAATTGTAGCTATCGTATTGAATGTTAATATGATTATTAGTTGACTTCCACAGTTCGTTAATTGAATCGTTTGGAGATGTTTTCAGGGCATTGCGTAGACTTGCCACAAGTCGACCATGGGGAAGGGAGGGGCGGGGGAGGGAGCGCGCGACCCGAGCGACGAAGTCGCGAGTGGTCGACTTGTGTCGCTTGCAGGAATTTAAATCGCATCAAAAATTTTGGCGCGAATAATTTTGACATATTAAAAGGGTGTGTACATTTCATACAATTACTTCACCGCGCCGACAATGGGTCTACGAAAACAAAAACATTCTCTAGAATTGATAATTGTTGGTAGTCGAATGAAACAGTTTGCACCAAGTGTGGAAACGAAATAACTGACCTAAGTTAAGTAAGCGCCGAAAGCTGTGCAATGTATCAACGCTGAAAAAAGTGCATGTAAAAACTTATTGAAGCTTCACAGTTGTTTGTCTATTAAACAATGTGTGCCGTAATTATGTCGACAAGAATAGTCTAACTCAGTTCGCAAGCGATTTAATTAACGTATAGCTAGTAGAAGTTAATCTATAAATTGAAAAGAATCAGACAACTGTAACCAAGAAGCAGAGAGGCGGCGATTGTGATAAACTAGAAGACGTCGCTAGAGTTCTGCAAAATCCAGTAAAAATACGCGTTGTTTTCTCAGCAAGCGAATTTGTAATAATCAGTAATCGAGATCAAGAAACCCAAACTAAACCCGAAACTAGAGAGGAAATTTTTGAATCATGGGATGCATCTTCGGTGACGGTGGTAGTATTAAAGTTTATTTCCACACCATGCACTTTATTGCTGCCGAAGGCAGCCTCCTATTCTTGACGATGTGTTATAGCGCATTTGAATTTCCCGCCAACAGTTTTATATACTGAAGCTCATCTCGATTTTGTGTCGGCAGTTGTGACGTCATATTATGACTTTGCAGTAAGGAATTTGCATTGGAGCGTTATCATACACCAGGAATTCAAAATAGCAAATCGATGACTGCCGAATACTTTGTTTAGCGACTGCGAACGACGTACCAAATATGGCGTTTAAAAATATTTCGATCAGCAAGCTTTCTAGCATTTTAACACGAGGTGTCGAGGTCAGGAGCGAAGCAAAGACTAGTTCAAGTCTTGTGAGAATGGGAGATCGTTTAGAGGTATGTCAATTTTCTCGATATTTCTTTTCTTCTATTGCTCAATTCACAGCGCGAATTATGTATATCATATTATTTTAAATTCATGCACTATATCATATATTTTTATACACTATTTATAATGAGAAATGTCTCTGTGTATTGGCCTAAAACATAGTCTGTCATACATATTAAATATTAAAATGCACCCATGACTATGAATGTTTAGCTCCACGGTTAAGAGGATTTAGCTGCATATATTAACTGAGTTACCAGCAGTTACAAGGTATGATGGTCAGACTGTAAAAATATACCTCTGAGATATGTCCATTGTTAGCACAACACGAAATAATCCTACTGGCCTTCATGTATTCGCCATTTCACCTGGCTGTGTCACTACCACATTTCAGGATTTTTGATAATGCACCAGTCAGTGGAATGCCCCGCACCTCCTACCTGGGGAATAGCGGGGGATTATTGAGAGATTGAACCTTATATTCGACCATGCTACACAGGGATTTAGACTGTATTAGTTATATTATCAGGTACCGGGGACTTTGGCAGGACTTATATCGGGGATTAGACATAGCCAACAACTTGAAAACGAAAAAGGACTGGGAATAGGCAATGAAAGCGAGCTGATAATTTTGCGAACGAACTGACAATCTCTTGTGTTATTAGGTCACCGTTTTATTTTCTTGAAAGTTATTGTAAACCATTTAGATGTTCTATTTTTTTAAGCATTCAGTATGGACCATAGATATGACTTAAATTTTAGGTAAAAAGAGAAAGGCCCAGTTCTTAGGGGCCCCGAACAATGAGCAAAACTAAATCGAACTGAAAAGAATCCAGTTTAATAGATGTGCGAAATTAAGTACGAATAAGGTAGTATTTATCAAATAGGTCTATTTCCTTTAGACGGATATTCCTTGTAGATATTGTATGGTGGGCCCGGAAAGCAGGGACATTATTTGTGTTTAGGCAAGTGGGTGTGGCCCATATAGCGGAGAGTGAAATAGAGCAAGGTCTTGGTCTAATGTCCCGCTGTTCACCAGGTAGGGGGGTGCGGGGTATTCCACTGACTGGTGCATAATGCTCACAATTTCTTTTTTATCTAGTTTTGCAGTTCTGAGTGTGTACTATCTTAGTCTTTACAAATGAATGGTGCCATCTGAAGCTGACGTATTAAACAAAAATGTCGACAAATATAGATTTTGTCTCCCATCAGCAGATTGTTCAGTTGTTCTACAATGGAGGTGCCTTGAAGGTGCCATTAAAACAATAATTGGGAAAAAAACTGACTTAGTATTTCTATATATGAAATTGTTATTAAATTCTATGTGTCCAATCATTCATTCAAGTATTATTATTGTTTATACGTGCATATGGTATTATAACTATTATTGTTCACTATTGAGTGGCAAGCTAGCCATGGTAACTGGTCATGGTATGCAAATAGACCTGCAATGCAAATCATTAAAAACCATAGCATGACCTAGCTGTTACTATGGCTAGCTTCACCAGTGCTGACAGTAATTATAATTATACATACAAAAACAAGAAGTTATAAGCATTGAACGAATTCATATAATTTTGGCATGCCAAGAAAGTAGAATTAGAATATTTAGCTGACTTTTGACTTTGTGCAAGGTGTTTGGTATTCAAATTGCACTTTCCCTACCTCCTGAACAGGCATCTTAGGCTAAGGGGTTGTTTACATGATGGAATGTGGGATGATTTTGATGTATTGAAATACGTCCATAGGCTAAACGAAAGTCCAAATGCTGGTTAACAAAACTCAAATGTTGTAGAGCAGATGTTGTAGTTCAAAAAGATTCTTATGGCTGCTTGAACAACCTTTCAGTTTACAGATAACTATTGCTATCTCTCGAAAATAATGAAGTTTTTTGCTGAAGTGTACACCGTGACTTATTTAAATACATCTAAATCATCCCGCCTCATATATCATCCTGGCAAAGCGGGATCATAAAAACATCGCCGTATTCAGCAAATTGTGCATGCTGCCTTTGACCCCTTGGGGGTGAGGCAGCACTTTCCTTGCGATAGTAACTTCTAGTTCTGAATGTAATGTCTGTTTGTGTATTTTAACATGGTTTTTTGTGTTCTACAAAATTGTAATTACATTGTTTACTGTGTTTGCTTCAATAATAGATATTTGTTCAACAAAGAGCCTGAGAATATAATATTGTTAGACTCCTTCAATAATGACCGATAATATAACCGCTTCGACGTTCCATGTAAACAATGACGTCACCGGTGGATTTTTCCCCCGGTGATATTTGGCGCGCTGCAAGTGACAAAAGTCCTTCCACAGAGGAAGTGAAGCGCGCCATAGAAGGGCCTGGAAAGGACTTTGGAAAGTCTAGGCATTGCGTAGAACTTTTTGGCACTGAATGAACTTGACGGATGCAGGGATGATATTTAGACCAAACTTATTACGGGTTAGAAAGATGTTACTTAATGTTCCAGATATAGGTACTTCCAGCCATTTTCGGAGGTACTTGTTCACCGGAGAATCGATATTTTCGACTACCCAAGTTTTAGATATCGTAGCAACAGTATAATAATAATAATAATAATAATAATAATAATAATTATAATAATAATAATAATAACAATAATGGAAACTTTATTACTTTGAATAATATATATACACACTACAATGATAAACCTCTCTTTACAGGTAGTTTACCAGTGTCTACTTGAATTAACACTCTACATAATAACAATATTAGTATGACATTAGTTGTGGGTTATCCCATTCTTTGTTACGCTTACAGAATATATAATACGAGGGCCTGATACATATATTAATAATTTTCCGAACATAGTACTTTCTACATTGTTCATCAAACTTTAGATCTTTCAGCATTTCGGTGAAATCTAGCGACGGGTGGCTGAAAACTCCTAATGAGCTAATCGATAAATTTACAAATTTCTCTTTTTCATAATTTTTGAGCTGTTCGTTAATTAGATCTTGATATTTTTGTCTTTTTCGAGTTGCATTAGTGAGGAGATTAGATTCAAATCCGACGGTAAGTTCAAGTATATAAATACATTTGTTTTCAAGTGTTATCAAAAGATCAGGGCGCAATTCATCTCCGGTGATAACAGATGGACTGATATAGCCAGGAAGGTCAGCATTAAGGTTACAATGGTTCACAGATTTAAGTATGGATGCTATGAAGTTAAGCACCGAATCATGACGCCACGTGAAACGTCCTTCATTTAGGTAGGTCTTGCATCCAGCGACGACGTGAAGAAGTGATTCTGGATTCAAACAAAACGAACATTCGGATGTTGGTGATATTCCCCATTTCAGAAGGTTTTTGCGAGTGGGAAGAGTGTTATTTATATACCGGATAGTGAAGTTAAATATATTCTTGGGAAGTTTACTCTGAACGGAGGACCATATAGAGTTGAATGAGAGTGTAGAATGTTTAATGATATTGGAGAAAAATGAGCCTTGTGAAATGAGGTGGTGTTGAAGCCTGTCTTCATGTTGTTTTCTGATGGTGTTTAATACGTCTTTGGTGTTTTTGTATTTGTCATACTGTACATTTTTGTGATTGCTAGTATCCTTCCAAAGGTTATTGATCGCTTGATTTGGCGACGACTTTAGGGCTTTCCGAGAAACAGTTTGGCATTGAAGGAATTTGGTTGAAGGTAGAATGATATTTAATCCAAATTTATTGTGGGGAAGTAGGACGTTACTAAGGGTTGCAGAAATAGGAAGTTCAAGCCATTTTCGGATATACGTGGACGCGATACTATCTAGTTTATCGTTAACCCAGGTTTTGCCTATGTCAGAAACAGTGAAGTGCCAAGAGATTTTGGAAAGCACATAACGACTATATAAGAGAATTTTGTTTTTCGGATGTAATGGTAGATCATCAATTTCATTCAGGATATTAGTAAGTGTGTCATATACTTCAGATTTGTGATCTTCGTCGGACATGTTGAAATCAAAATAGCGACCTAAGTAGCGAAACGATTTACCAAGTTCAACACGTGGTACAAGACAGTTATTTATAAATAGTTTTGGGAGATATTGAATGGATTTGGTTACTTGTTTCCTAATGCCAAATGTTGAACATTTGTCTACACGTATTATCATTTGAGCCCACTGACACCAGATTGTAAAGCGATTAAGGAGCATTTGGTTTTCTTTTTCTTGGCCGCTAACAACAGCCGCGTCGTAATAATAATAATAATAATAGGAATAATTATAAAAGTTTTATGCCTGGGTGTTCTGTGCGGAACGCTTCAGCGAAAGAGCCTAGCAGATTTCGGTAAAATGGTCCCTGATTTCACAAAAGCGGTCCCTGGCCTGGTTACCAAGCATATCGCATTTGTAAATAGAAAATGTTATGGAAAAATTCCTTTGCGTTTATAATTAAGTCATTAGTTTTGCCCTAATGCTCTCGGAATAATGAAATAGGCTACGTTTTGCTACCATACGGTTAGAATGGAATAACGGACTAAACATGACTCGTGTTTACTAAACTATAAAGTCATATTAAATGCTATCTAGAACTGTTTGAAAATTATGCCGAGTCTCCGGCTAAAAATGTTTTGACAACAGAGTCATGTCAGGCAAATATTTCCAATCTCCACAGCTGTATAAACCTGTCAAGTAGAAAGCGTTACGGTAGTTGTGTATACCAGTACGGTCTAGTGTTGATCACAACGTGCGAGTATAGAAATAACATCAACGATTATACGGCCATTGCTCAGACTCAGTATCGTAAATTTGTATATAATTTTTTTTAATTGAACACGTTTTTAATACAGTTTGAAATTGGTTATGTAGACATCGAACATGATCAACGAAGATTGTTGTGTTTACAAGGTTATTTGTATACTGTATAAATTTTCCGCCATATTAAAAATACTGAAATCTGCTAGGCGTTCTGAAGCAGCTAGAGCGGTGAAGTCACACCTACGTCTCAGCCTCGTTTTGTATATATATATATATATATATATATATATATATATATATATATATATATATATATATATATATATATATATATATATATATATATATATATAAACCGGGTGTCCCAAAAAAAAGTACTCCGGTTTGACTTGTAATAACTTCTAAACAAGTAAAGCTATCAAACAGAAATAACTTGCATTAAATAGAGGAAGGACTAACTTAGATTTTGATATATTACAGTTGTATTTTACTTAACAATTCACGGAGATATTAATGTTCAAAATCGGGAGCATATTTTTGAATGTGTCTAAAATTAGCGAAAATCGGCATATCAAATATTAACTTCAGCGTTTGTTTGCTTGATGACATATCAGGCTATTAAACTTGTATTTCAGCGAATTGTCGTTAGGGTTTGTAAGGGATATGGCATAGATTTAGACATCTTACATGTATTAAGTCTTAGCTCATTGTTTCCTGAAATATGAACGTACGAAATTATGCAAGTATTTAATAGGTCTTTACAAACTTATAAGATACATGAAAGACCATGCAAGGCAGGCGCTTAAATTTTAAAATTTCTTAAATAGCCTAATTTTTTAATGTTTTTCATGGATTAAAAACAGAGTTGATTATTTTTCGGTTTGAGCAGGATGAATATTATTCTGCAATGAAGGAAATAATATTGCTTTTTGCAAATACACATAAAAAAATCAAACTACTATTTTGTTACGTTTTGTTCCAAAAATGTTAGATGTCTCTGGGGAGTTGCATGCTTGTTATGTCTTATCGAGTTGTATGCTTTGATTGTGTTTCATTCTCAGTTTATTCTGAACTTAAAAAGATTAAGAAAAGGAAAAGAGTTTGAGTGTTTTTAACAAGATTTCAGAACGTTGCAAAAGTTAGAAGAGCTTCACAATTCGATTGTGACAGCATGCCCTAATTCAGAACTACGAACGATCCATGACAATCCTTCGCGATGCTGTGGTCTCTTGAAATAAGGAAACGTATTCGTGCTAGGAAAACACGCGGATTTCGGACGAATAAATCTTGCTTGCATTTTGTAGATAATAATAATTTGTTTCATAATAAACAATTTGTCAAGTGTCATTTATTTACTGGTAATCGTGCATGTTTCAATCGGGCAAATCTTGATTAATTAATCTTAAAATATATTTGTCGCTACACTGTGTTTCACGCTTCTTTCAAAGCGATCTTCAGGCGAATTCGCCTGAAGATCGCTTTGAAAGAAGCGTGAAACACATGCAGTGTAGCGACAAATATATTTTAAGATTAAAGAATTATATATATATATATATATATATATATATATATATATATATATACCGGGTGTCTCAAAAAAAAGTACTCCGGTTTGTTTCGTAATAACTTCTAAACAAGTACACTTTTTAAAGATAAATAACTTGCATCAAATAGAGGAAAGACTGACTTAGATTTTGATATATTTTCACTTAAAAATTCACGGAGATATTAATGTTTAAAATCGGCAGCATATTTCTTGATTTGTCTGAAATATGCAAAAAACGGCGTATCAAATATTAAAGAATTATTTAAGCTCTATCGTATATTGGTATTGAGCACTCTTCGTTCAATTACGGACAACAAGAATTATATATATATATATATATATATATATATATATATATATATATATATATATATATATATATATATATATATATATATATATATAGTTTTGTGGGCAAATAAATATCTATCTATCTACTACATCCATAGACATCCACGTTTTTTCTCGCCCTTCAGAACCACAGGGACTAGGCTGCAAAGAATGAACTTCAATCACGCTTTGTAACTCAATTTGAAATTCGTTGCACGTTAATCCCCGAACCAACGACGCGGAGCGCCGTGCGAGGGTACTAATTCCGCCCGGCTATTTACACCCGGGAAAACGAAAGCATTAGCGGAGTCTGAAGTTCATCAATGATCGAGGGCGTGGGTGACCAACGATGGGTGGCCATCCTCACTGATCTCATGAATAGCGAACACTGATTGGTCCAGTTTAAAATTTGCATTATGACGACTGCATGACGACAGCAAAATAGCAAACATTTCTTGATTTGATAATTTCTTGCAAATATATTTCATTTTTGCAAGATTTTGTGAGTTTCAAAAGCCCTCTGATAAAATAAAGGAGAAAGAATTGCTCAAAGAAGGGAGTAAAGGCGCCGACGTTAACGAAAGTAAGTTTGTTTAAATATTGATGCATTATTTGCTTTATAATTGCTTTAAAAGCCGATCATTGCGTATTACGAAACAAGATAGCATATCATTTCAGTGTATCTTTAATATTGATCATCCGTTTTTATCATATTGAATTTTTTAAATAAAGAAGAAGCAAACTTATTTGCATGCGAGAATCCGAAATAATTTTATTTCAAACCCGAAAGCAAAAGTTTATCGATAAAGGCAGTTTTAATAGTTTTATAAAGAACATTTTAAAACATTTGCGAAGCGTTTGTGGTTGAATTTTACCCTTAATTGAAGCTTTTAGTAGGCTACGTATAATAACATACCTATATATATGTTTGGAATATTGATAATTTTGTAATTAAAAGTGATATTTTTAGGAGATTTTTAATTTTGGAAAAATATTCTTAAAAAATTATCATGTTACCATGACAACTACTTTAAATACTTCATGTTCGGAAAATACAATTGATTTGTCAATGCATGTATTTTCTAGTTATAGCACTTTATAAATACCAGAAATGAAAAGGGTCGTTCAAAATTAGTAATTCAATTCTTAATATTTTGGGACTATAAAGGCCCACACAGGCCGGACGCGATTCGTCTTCGCGACGCGAATTTCAATTTTCAATGACATTTAACTTTGCTATTTTTCTATGTTTTTCAAATATTCGGACCCACTTAAGCAATTTCAGCTATTTGGTCTGCATATCTTGTAAAATTTTTATTCGTTGACAGTTTTAATTGTTTTTAAAAACTGAAAATTCGCGTCGCGTTGTCGAATCGAGTTCGGTCTGTATGGGCCTTAAGTTCGTATTGTTCACATGACTCATAATACTTTCCAAGCAATACAATCACAATAATTTTGATGAACTTGCACTGTACAAGTTGCGGCTGAGTTGATTCGAGTCATTTACAGCAGCGACTGCCAAGTTAAGTCAGACTCATTCGGAAACGAATCATTACGGGCTATTGACTCGACCAAGTAATTTCTCGTATTGGACTCGAGTTGCTGAATATAACGACTCGAGTCTGAGTCAATGACTCAACTTGATACAACACTGCTAAGCTCGATTGAATTCTATGGTCCCATTCTCGGGAGTATCATTTGTCTTTAGTATTTTGGCAAGTGCTCGAGAAATATTTTAAGCATACTGCTTTCTGACTCATCCTTCATTGGATGGAACAACGCCTATTGGGTTGACGGCACATGAGATATTTTGCTTGATTATACAGGCTTTTGCTCTTCGTTTGGCGAAGTTTGGCATTTCGATAATTCTCTTTTCAAACTGATTTGATTTGGATTCAACCCTCTTGCTACTGTGTTATAATATCTGCAAACAACAATTTTAATATGATGTCTATTTTATGATAAATCTAAACGAAAAAAACAGTTGTAAATAGCTAATAGCCTAATTAAAATATCATTAGTTATGCCCTATCAAATCCAAACAAAAGTGTTTCACACTCATCAGCGTGCTCTACAGAATAATATAGATCAATGTAATATCTGCTACATCGTGCACGTTTGAAGGTTACGTTCGATTTCGTTCGTGTATAATGAACAAATCAAGCCAATTTTGATTGAGTAGAACAGGCCTACTCTGGGGCGGTAAATCGCCTTAAATCGCCTAAAATCGCATTAAATTGCGGGTTAAAATGGTCAAATTTCTCTTAAATCGCCTAAAATCGCTTTAAATCGCCTAAAATCGCTTAAAATCATGGGCGTACTGGGTGGGGGGGGGGGGGGGGGGGGTGACCCCTGGCTTTGTTGGGCAAACAAAGCCAGCCGGGCAATATTCGCTTCACAGTCGGGCAATATTGGTTTATTATAGAAATAAATGGGACAAATTCTGTCAATTATGTGGGAAATATGCTATCTAATAGGAATTTTTTGTAATAACTTCTCCCCCCCCCAATCACTTCTTTCCAACCCCCTAATATTTTCCTTCCCGTACGCCCATGCTTAAAATCGCATTAACTCGCCAACATGCATTCTGTCTGATACATTCAGTCAATAATGTACTCAAGTTTATCAATTGCTGGTATTTTGCTGGCAAATCATGTATAATCCAGGTGTTTTGCAATCAAAAGTAATGCAACATGGATAAATCAAATAAGTGGATTAGGCTGACAATATTTAGTCACTCAATAGGCTCCGGTCGTTAATAAAAACAGAGCCTTTTTCTGCTTTATGCAGACTTTACAATAATTAGGCAGTTCTGGGATATGAAAGACCCATAGATTTCATTACACTACCAGCAACAAAATTGAGTTACTGGTTAATTTCATTATTGGTGTAAAATGTGGAAGCTGGGCTACAATTTATATGGACTATGGTGGCTGGGCTACAAATTAATCTATAATATACATGGCTTCTCAAAGCCTAATTGCTGTTAGAACAACAGTAGGAGACTGTGATAATGAGAGTCAATGAGTACGAGTATATAATAAGGTCATCCTGCAATTTATGCACTGTTGCATGTAGATCGAGCACTGCATTGTATACAATGGTTGTACTTCGACATGTGCATGGTTATACTCTAGCTGCTCCTAGTTATAATTATATTGGCTATCATACGAAAAACATACGTGAGGTTTAATATGAGCGAGATTTGCAAGTTTTGCAACTCTCATCTATTAAATTTTCCAGACCTGTATATAAAATAAACAGTAAAACAACGATTACATCGTACATACCATACAATCTTTGTTGTTGCTTGTTTGCAGAACACTTGACAAATTATTAGGTAAAAGACTTAAAACAGTTTAAATAAAATGCAAGCTAAATAAAGAAGTGTTGACAAGATACAAAACAAGACAATTTCACTTACAAGGGTGACAAGGTAATTTATAGGAATATAGCTTATTGTAACTGTATAAATATATTGTGCGTTTCTACTCTCTGTGGGCTGTGGTTCTTTTGGAAATCAAATATCTATTATATTTTGCAATTAATAATATTAAAGTTTAGCCTAAGACATGTGTAGTTTAGTTATAGGTTGGTATTTTGCAATTATGTACCGTACATGCCCCTTAAGTAGAGTATATTTATTAACTGTTTACAATATTTGTGGTATATAATGTAGCCATGAATGCATGACCACATGACCCCACAAGATGAACTCCAATGGCTTCTAAATAAGACAATGGATGAAAAGTTCACGAATATTGAGCTTTATATATGATTCGGGTTAAATACAATAATTATTAACCTAGCTTTATATAAAATGTAGATACATGTTCTAATAATTGTATTTTGTTCATTGCTCGCTCCCCTTTGGGGCTTTTCAGTCACCGCTTACATAAAGTATTAGGGTTACTTATGTTAGTGTAGACTATATATCTTTATAACAATGAGAATATGATATCACTTTTCTAACTGTGTTTATTCTAACCCACCCTGCCATATTTTGCCTTGTGGGAGGAAACCGGAGCAAAATATAAAATTCAATTACCTTGAAAACAAAGGTCTAAATTGCAATCCCTAAAATTTAGAATTTTCTCTTAAATCGCCTTAAATCGCCTAAAATCGCATTAAATCGCAGTGCTTGAAAGTCCCAGTTTTTCCTTAAATCGCCTAAAATCGCATTATATCGCAGCGATTTAAGGCGATTTACCGCCCCAGAGTAGGCCTTAGAACGCATAGCAGCGAGCTTGCGTTACTGGTTCATTGGCAACACTCCACACGATATCAAATGTAAGTTGGCTTTACTTTGCCCGAGTCTTGTATCATGTACTAAATTTTGATGGCTGATTTTGGTAAGGCTTAGTGACAATAAAATGTATATAGTGTAAAGATCACTGCCAAGGCATGCCACGACTTCAACTAACGCGAAATTGCGGCAATAGCTGCGATTACAAGGGCGTTTGATTATAGTGTCGTGCATGAGTAGTTCGCTGTCGCGACTTGTTACAGGCGGCATTTGAAGCTCTGGATAAATAAACTAAAGGTTTGATGGTATTTTAACATTAAGGCAACTCTCATGCCCTCGCGTCCTCGTTTGATTCCGGCTTGTGCTTGATTATAAGGTCGTATAGTGATATTTCTGAAACTGATCCGTTAATTAAACCTTAACACTTTCAAGTCATCCAGCGCACATGTGCTGTCGATCTCGAAACTATCATAAGTAGAAATTATAATTGTTTAACTAAAATAAGACCGAACTTCGATTTATCGTTGTTTGGTGGCTAATTAAGCTCTAAGGGACCGGTCATTATTTATGGCGGGGGGTGGCACCAAAGAGAAAACGGTTGGGTAAACTAAATTTTGAGTAAGTAGAAGGTTGGGTAAATGAAAAACAAAACAACTCAAGGATTGGGTAATAAAAAAATTATTGTCATTTCCAAAACATGACTCACTGAAGTATTGCGGACTAAAAAGCAATGGCGACGGTAGCTAGCCCTACTCTGAGGCGGTAACAAGATAATGTGAGTTTAAGCAATTTTAGGTGATTTAAGCAAAATCTGCAACTTTAAAGCAATGTCAGTTTGAGCGATATAGAGCGATTTAAGAAAAAAATTAAAATTTTAGGGAATGCAGTTTAATGGAAGGTTATTTCAGAAATATACAACTATATCCTCCTAATGATTACAGTGAAATTATTACCATCAACCGGCCATGCCAAGCATTCAAACATGTGTGTTCCCACAAGCACACCCATGTAATGTATGAAGCAAAATATACTTAATGGAAGTATGGAACATGCACATTTAATATAAAGTTACGGTTGTATTTAACCTTAATTGGGACTTTGATAAGAAAAGTTGAAGTCTGCTTGAGGGGGTTCTGGAAACAAACAATACACTGTATGCGCATGATGATCAAGTGTTTAAAGGGTAAATAAGCTCAATATTCATGATTTTTTCACCATGTCTGTTTCGAAGCCATTGGGGCATAAATTAATGACACCACTATAATACATGCCCACATCATATGCAATTGCAAACAATTTTCAAGAACGGAGAACGCACAGAAATCTATAAGTCCACCTCCTCAACGTATCATCTGGTGTTATGGTCAATGGCAACCATCATATTTTGATATGTTGGGGACGATGCCTGGAATCGAGTTCAATAAAGGCATTCTCGACGATATCGACAACGGAGATTACTTGGATGTATCGCAACGGAATTTGAGCGTATTGGATGATCTTATGGCACAATCTAGTAAAGACAAACGTATATAGCTGATCTTTTTACGAAAGGAAGTCATCATCGGAATTTATCTATCATCTATATTGTTCAAAATATATTCCATCAAGGCAAAGAAATGAGAAATATCAGTCTAAACGCCCATTATATTGTGCTGTTCAAGTCACCAAGAGATAAACAGCAAATTTCTATGCTTGCAAGGCAAGTAGATCCTGTAAGAGTACAAGAATTTATGAGGAGTTATGAAGATCCTACGAGCCGCCCTCACGGGTATTTGATGTTGGATTTAAAACCAACAACGAGTGATGAAGATCGACTTAAGACGAATATACTTCCCCGCGAGATTGCAAGGTTTATACAAAAGCAATCGTATCGACAACCACCGCTTATAAATGCACTGTATAATACATGCCCACATCATATGCAATTGCAAACAATTTTCAAGGGTGTACAGTACAGAATTGCAATATAACAACATATAAGTAAATTACATGTACATGTCATGCACTTACCAGTTTGTGTTGAGTTAAATTTAAAAATTTTCATGACGTCAAATATTTATTTATTTGCAGATCAAAACATTTTAAAATCCTCGTGTTTTGTATTGCGCCCGCGATATATTAATGGTCTTAACCGCTGTGAATAAAATATTCATTCAGTGAACAGGGAGGAATTCGGTGATATTATAATAATTATATACATTTTTACATATACATTGTGCTCAAAATTTCAGGAAGCGAGTTTCTAGATACAGAAAGGTTGAAAACTCCGTTTTATGAATGGTATGTAAAAGGTAATAGTTGTTTACTGTTTATTTTATATTCAGTTATGGGGAATTTAAGCGATGCATGAGAGTTGCAAAAGTTGCAAGTGTATAGTCTCATCGACGTCATCGTGCAACTATTAATATTGTGCTACATTCATTATTCAAGGCTTCTATAAACCATACATATGATTATAGCTTGTATATAATGAATTAATATAACTATAACTTGATTCTGTTGCTAGTTGAGTATGTCGAGTATGGGACCTATGGACTATGGACTATGGGTCTTTTAGATCCTATTGTAGCACAATTAATATAAAATCTCCATAAGGCGGTGATAAGATTGTTCTTATATAAATATTCATGCATTGTTCTTATATAAATATTTATGACTATTAAGTGGCCAAAAATTGTGCCTAGTCAACTTATTCCACTTTCCAGGTTGCATCACTTTTGCAAAATAGCAGCAATTAATGAACTTGGTATTATACTATTAAAGATTTACTAAATGCATATGTAAAGAAACCACGAAAAGTACATATATATTGTTGTGAGTTTATGCCACTTAGTGGGATATTTGAGTGTTTTACTGTTGGCGATTTATTAAATATGAGCTTGGGTGATTTTAAATTAATCGGTTTAAGAGAACTTTGGTCAATTTTGACCTGCGATTTTAGGCGAGACCTCCCCAGAGTAGGCCGTCACATGTCAATACAATATGTAAATCAATCAGAGTCACCATCTTGATCATTTTCCGATTTCTTGCGAGACAAATAGTATTTCCAACGAAAGTACATCTGCAGACTACATGAAACTTTAAACGGCAGAAAATTTCACAATCCGTTATCAAACGCATGTCACAGAAGTGGTAAAGGACAAATGTGACAACTGAATGGTATCCTTTTGTGACATTTTCGGCCAGGGGTGGGTATTTATTTTTTAATTGATATTTGAGGTTGGGTAATCAAATTTTTCGACTTTTGAATGGTTGGGTCAGCAAAATGTTTGCCACAAAAAACAATTCTCTTCGGTGCCACCCCCGCCATAAATTATGACCGGTCCCTAATATTCTCGCAACATCCTCGCAACCCGAGAATTATTTTAAGTTCACTTTTTTGTTACATTCTTTATTGGATGAAACAATGCCGATTGGGTTGACGGCACATAAGATATTTTGCTTGAGTACAACCTTTAGCTCTACGTGTGGCGAAGTTTTCGAAAGTTTGGCATTTCGATCGTTTTCTTTTCGAACCGATTCGATATTGATTTACCCTACTTGCTACTATATTGTAATATCAACAAGCAGAATTAAAAGAATAACTCTACTTTACGATAAACTAAACGAAATAACATATGTACTAAAGAGTTAATAAATAGACCAAACAAACAAAGCTGTTTGACACTTAAATTCGCCATTGTGCTGAACAAAATAATATAGATCGCGCAGCATCTGTTACTTCGTGCACGGTTGAGTGTTATATTCTATTTTGGTGTTGTTTAAATTAATGAACAAATCAAGCATTTTTTGTTGAGTAGAACGGATGAAACAATTTTGAAGTCAATGGTTTATCGGTATGTCACAACATTTCGTACCAGTCTCACATAATTATGTACTAAAGTCTAAACTTTGATGACTGATTTTAGTAGGGTATAATGAGGATATTTTATAAGTGATTTGTAAAATGTATAAAGAGTAACATCAAGGCCATGCACGACACGCTTTCAACTTCAACAACGCGAATTGACAACAGTAGCTGAAATTTCATGAGATTTTCGATTATATAGTCACATGCATGAGTAGTTTGCAATCACGAATTGCTACAGGTGACATTTTAAGCGGTATTGTACTTCCTTTCACCAATTAGATGCGCTTAATCTACCTTGTTGACCACTAAAGTGCGTATTCAACTTGCGAGTGATAGCGCTAGTGAAACGTAGTGGAAGCCAAGTCACACATTGTCAACTGCATGTTTCTCTGGCATTGTTTTAATTAAAAAAAACAGTCAGCCATGATCCACTTTATGAAATTAATACAGTTTAATGAACGACGTTAATTAAGATATTGAGTATTTATTTAAGATTCAGATGAGTTCAAGAATCCAATTTTTAATAACAGTGTCGTAGCTTGACTATGTACACTTTGTGCAATAGACAATATTCTGTAATTTGCAGTTGTAATCAGAGCGAAGATCGATGACGTTTAGCACTCGCGTGGAATTTTGATTATTCATTTGTTTTCTACATATACGTATATTAAATTGCATTCTCAAGGAACAAGGTTCAACAATTTGCGGGAAAAAAGGATTTCTTGCTGTATTTTGTCCACCTTTAATTCGTGCTTAATGCGGCTATATATTTTCCACCTTCGGCCATCAGGTTTCTGATTGGTTATTCTCGTCTCCTTACGTCTATGCCGACCGTGTCTAACCTCCTCTGTGGTATGTCTATAAAGACCCATTTCCACTCAGGAAACTTTTTCGGAGAAAGAAAATTTTGTAAAATGTGATTGGCCGACACATATATTTTCCAACTTGAAAAGTTCCAAATTTTAACAATTATATTTTCTGAAAATATTCTGTCCGTGGAAATTTTTCTTGATTGAGTGAAAATAATCCTTAAACATGCAGTGCAACTGTGCAAGTAGGCTAATAACGACGGTTGTTAAAACTGATAAGACAACGATAGCTAGCATGTGAGGTAGAAAACATTACTCATAATATCTGCCTAAATTTGAATTGATATTGTCCCTCTTGCGCAGCACAACAAGACGAATTGAAGAGTGTATAGAGACGGCAGCCTTAATGATGTAATTTTGTCCGACTGCAGTATGAAGCAGTTTGTCAATTTTAAGACTGTTTTTATCAATATATTGTGGGCAAGAGATTTCTAACCGCAATAATGACATCGCATCTCATGGTTTTCAATATCTTTTTTTCTTAACTTTGGCTATAAATATTGTTGCAACATTACTTTACTAAGTTTTACATTGGATGACCATGAGAATGTAGAAATCATTGCTGCCGAGCGTAGCAAGGCAGCTCCGTATTCTTGACGTTACATGCCGTTCTTGCTTTTTCGTGCCCAGTCCCCGGTCGAGTTATATTGGGGAAACAGTACTGAATCCATGTCAGTCCGTCGGATGCCAAGATTTTTCGGAAATTGTCGTCAGCTCGAGCATTCGACCACTCTTTGTTTTTATTCGATTTTGATTCGATTTTATTTATTTTGTATTGCGCTCGCATGATTCTTCTCAGGATTTAATACAGTTTAATATGAGCTTATTTACATGCAGTATGTTGGATTTTCACGATGCAAAGGATGACAATATTTTGAATAATTCATGGTAAGGATAGCTTTATTTCTTCTGGTGATATACATGAGTGAAGGCATTTACATTTAGATTTGCTGTTTAGTGTTCGATATAGAGGTATTGAAACCAATATGATTTCATGAATTTGCAGTAATTCTAATAGCCCACTGATCGTCTTTATACTTATACAAGGAGTCAAATGTACTTTTAGTATCTGAGATATGTCCATTGGTTTAGCATTATATGTAATATACCGGCTTACATTCATATATTCACCCGCTCAGAATTTCTTTCTACAATCTTAATCATTACAAATGAATGGTCATCTGAAGCTGACAAAAATGTCAACATAGATTTTGTCTCTTCATCAGCAGATTGTTCAGTTGTACTGCAATATGGGTAGCCTTGAAGGTGCCATTAAAACAATAATCACGTCGTACTCATGCGCGATTTAATTTTGCGCATCTTGTTCATGCTCGTACAGCTTTAAATTCTGGCAAGAAATTTTTTGGTTTGTTTAATAGAACTATTAACAATTAACGTATTTATAATGAGTATTTTTTATCAAAAGTTAATCAAAAAGCAATTAGGTGGCCTCAAAAATGGTCTCAAAATTATGTAATAAAACTAAAACATTTATTGTATGGTTCTCATTTGCCTAATACAATAATAATAATCTTTTATTAGCATTACCATATATTATAGGTTCATAAATGGTATAAAACTACGGTGGCCCACAAGTGCAACACACAACTATATTTCAAACGCACAAATATATCTCAAAACACACAAATATACTGAGGTATAGTTCAAATGGATCCTCTTTTCGTTGTGGCTCTTCCAATGCGGCGCTCACACATGATCGTTGCCAACCTTTGACGACAATGTTTGAGGATCTGTCTCAAAATGCAGACATTCGTAACGGAATTCGATTTCTACGTGGAACCTGAGAATATCCCGACTGAAATTGTCCGGGGGGAAGGCATTTTTTATTTTTGATATTGACAGGACAACTTAAAACATAAGGTATTATATGTCAAATGTGTAGATGCGCATTAAATAAATCAACTGATTTACATTACTAACAACCGGTGTCTCACACTGAGTCACATTAAATCACAAAGCTTTTCGCGCGGATTATATTTCGACATTACTAAAATTCGCGCAACCCAGCGCTGCGCGAATTCTAGTACTGCGCAAATTTTAATACAAGTAAGGTATATGAAATTGTAGCAACAACTCATGCTATGCAAGTTTTTAATGATTTGCATTATTCAAATAGATGCAGGTTTATTAGCATAGCATGACCAGTTGCCATGGCTAGCTTGCCACTGAATACTGTACAATATCATATTGTCATATATATAAACAATGATAATACTTGAATGAATCATTGGACATGTAGAGTTTAGTTTAATAATGGCTGGCTTCACTATTAACAGTTTAATTATACATTCAAAAGCAAGAAGTTATAAGCATTGAAGGGATTAATATAAAACTCCCCATGCCAAGAAAGTAGAATTAGAATATTTAGCTGAACTTCGACTTTGTGCAAGGTGTTTGATATTCAAATTGCACTTTTCGGTCTTTTCCTGCATCCTGAACAGGCGTATTATCAATCTCGTACCCAGAGTATGCCCGTTCGCAAGTTAGGTCATGCCCAGCACCTAACCTGTGAACGGGCATACTCTGGGCTGTTTACATGATGGAAGGTGGGGGATGATTTTGATATATTGAAATAAGTCACGTACGAGGCTAAACGAAAGTTCAAATGCTGGTTAACCGAACTCAAATGTTGTAGAGAAGATCATGTAGTTCAAGAAGATTTTTATAGCTTTTTGAACAACTTTTCGTTTACAGTTAACTATAATCCATCTCTAGAAAATAAAGTTTTTCACGAAATCATCGCGCCTTATATCTCGTCCTGGCAAAGCGGTTTAAGCGAGATCCGTATAAACAGCCCTTATTCAGCAAATTGCGTATGCTCCCTTGCCTTTGATCCCTTGGGGGTGAGGCAGCACTTTCCTTGCGATAGTAACTTCTAGTATTAGTGTATATCATATCGGTTACGAAAATATTTAAAGTCCTTTTATAAAACAAACTGCATTTTGCTTTACATATCCTGGTATCTTGGACTGTGTTGTCGATACGAATCATCCCGATAGGCAGTGCAATAATGAGTACAATTTTTAGTGATAGAATGTAGAGTTATTAAGTAACTTAAGAATGTAGACTATATATTACAGCTAGCAAGCAATACTATTAAGCAGTTCGAGAGTTCGTATGCATGTACATTGGCATCGGCAGTTCAATTATACACGTAGCTTAAGGAGCGTTTCTTTTGTAAATCTAGATTTGGATTTTTAGGATTCGGATTTTTTGGATTCGTTAAACAAATGGAACGAATTGTGAGAATCGGAATTCGCCTGCTGTTTTCCCGCCATTTTTAAGATTAGTTTCCTCATTCTAGAAGGCCAGAAGCTCAAAAGAAACGTTGAATCCTAATCAAGATTCAGATTGAATCCGAAAAATCCATATGTGGAGGTGGATTCATCAGATTCGAATCTATTTTAAGATTTTGTTAAATGATACTGACAATCGATAATCGGATTTGAAAATCAAAATCCGGGTTGCACTAAAGGAACGCACCCTTAGTGATGTATTATATTAGCGCGGGCGCTGCAGGACATAATTGGATTTGGCAAGGCAATTCTGCCAGACATCCCCCTAATTAAAAGGGGCTAATTTGGGTCCTGGTTCTAATGGCAAAATCTTGTATTTCAATATCTTACTACTCGTTTCGACTCGTTTGTTGATTGTATTTCTTGGTACATGAGTAACAGTGTGAACCTTTTGTATGTCACGAAGCATTTTCAACTGCATTCTCGAATGGAATAATCTTTCGTATACAGAGCAGAGAAATCCCAGAAGTGATGAGTGTCCCAAATGAACAATATTATAAACGTTCACAATTCAGTCGATCGTTTATAGACACTATAAAGGCTCACGCATTTATGATAATACCGATCACCGAACACTAACAGGAAACATTCGAAGCACGCACAAATAAGTCCAAGTATTCACCCTCCTACCAAGAAATCGAAATGTCTGACACACTAGAGTCCATGTCTCGCACATTTACAGTAAGTCGAAGTTACGCGCACAAAATATTCGAATTTTTCTAATTCTTCGTCGAACAAAACACTAAGAGGACAAAGCATAATTAAGACAAATTCAAACAGAGCTCTTCACACCGCGACAGTAATATCTATAAAATGAGCCCGCATTTGCGATGCGTCTTTGCGGACAGTGTCCAAACTTCCCTGAGCTTACCAATAACGATATTTCATAGTTTAGTCGTTGTAACTGACAGATTAAAATTTAAGTTTGAATTGGTTTTGTAGATGGAAATTTCGAGTGTAAACCATATATTTTTATCACACCTAACATGGAGCAGTTGCAGTAAATGCGAATATGCCCTTCGGCCATGCGATTCCGTTGCAGCGCTCTTAGCAACTGAGCCACACAATCCACTTGTCGAACTCTAAGAGTAAGTTCGTGTATACAGCTAATTCAAAAAAGGTCGTCCTTTGCAAACCTTAAACTCTAAACCTTAAACCTTAAACTCTAAACCTTAAACCTTAAACTCTAAGCGTTAATGCATAACGGGGGCCCCTCCCCCCCCCCTCCCCATAACGGGAGCATCATTTTATCAATTTAGAAATCATATATGGGGACCATTTCTTATATAGAGACATGGAAAATATACATTATAAAAGCTGCAATATTCGACTATTTACTTTTAAGCTTGAAACTCGGGCTCCCATTAAGCATTTCGCGCTTAGAGTTTAAGGTTTAAAGTTCAGAGTTTAAGGTTTGCAAAGGACAACCTTTCTCGAATTACATGTAGCTGTATTATTATTATTATTATTTGCAATCAAAAGATCTTCAGCCCCCAATATAAATTTAAGACATTTTCTAAGTCTATGAATACAACCAAATACAACAATTTTCGATCCATTTCAATAATCTATACATATCCTTACAACTTGCAATGTGATTAAGTTTGTAAACGTCTATGTATATGTATTCTTAGGTTGAACAAAAACTATGAAAGCAAACGCTCATCCAAAAGACAAAGCAACTTTTGTATCTAAAGCGACACTCTGGTGGATTGTTAATTTGTTATGGAGGGGAAATCTAAAGCCACTCAATCACGATGACCTCGATCCTGTCAGAGAAGAAGATCGGGCTCACTATCGAAACAAACAGTTTGAGAAGATTTGGAGAAATGAGAAAATCTCTGCACATAAAAAAAAGACAAAAGCTAAACTTTGGAAAGCAATGCTGAAATATTTCACGTGGAAAGAATATGCTTTTTTGAGTTTTACATGTTTCCTTGCCGTCTCAGGAAATACTTTATATCGCTATTCTGTTCTTAAATTAATTTATGCTTTGAAAATTAGTGTTGACCACGGTTTGCAGTCCAGGAATCAGTACCTTGTCAACGTATGGGGCATAATTATCGGAAATTTACTTGAAAATTTTGGCATTCGACATTTTAATCTTATTACACCCACTTTGGGAATAAAATCCAGAGCAGCTGTTGTTAACTTGATTTATCAAAAGGTAAGCATTTTGATCACTCTGATAGCTTATCCTCTAAAAGATTATTTCACCAAAAGACAATATAATCATATGCTATGGAAACTAGTAAGTTATTTATGTACTGTTTAATTCAATAAACTTACAGAAGTGTTGTATTAGGTTCAGACCTCTATCACCAAGAGTCAATACTGTATATGATGTTCTACATTCATATGTGCAAGAAACATATTTCTTTCAATTGGGAAATACAGCTTTTACTGCCTCTCAGTCGCAGACACAAGGGAGGGGGGCTCCCCAATACTTTTGCAATAACTGTATAAAAATCTGGTACTAGATATCACAATTCACAAGCATTATTTAGGAGCAAGGGGCACGAATGCAATCAGACACATATAACGTAGTTGTCGTAATACTGAACTTAAGGAGGCTCCCTACAGTATAGCATGCGAGATGATCGTACGTGCATGCATGGACTATCCCACGCAATCGCGAGATCAAAACAAAATCTGAGCGGATTGTTTTAATGCTATTTTTGAAAGGTTTAAAAAAGCGTTGAAAAATCCTTCGTTTCGAATGCCAAATCGATTACGTCCATATAGCAATTTTACATCGGATACGAATATCATTAGGTCAAAATACAAGCCACGAAGAAATATGTTTTAATATTTCGAGAACAGTTACTGCATGACTTTCAACTGTTTAACATTTTTTACTTTGCACACAAATTTTTAATAAACGTTTAAAAGTTGTTTAGAAATAATTTCGTGTTTCTACAAGATTATAGTGATTAAATTAAAGCGCGGGAATGCAAAACCAAACAAAAAACACGTTCACCTGTTGGGCTGTTACAGCTCATGGTTTGAGTAAACGGCAGGTTTCAACGAGCCTCAATCTTGGAGGTTTTGTGTTTTTATCGATTTAATCTTTTAACGATATTCCATGCATGGCTTCTATGGCTCTCGAATAAATCGAAAAATTGACAAAACCAAAACAGTAAAAACAACATTGCCACTCGATTTTGTTGGATGCAAGCTCGTTTTTCGTCCGCGATTTTATGTAAAGGAATTTCCCGAGTTACACGGGTTTTTTCTGAAACTTGAATTGCGATTTACTCATTATTTTTATCGGTAACAAATCTTCAAGTTTTGAAAATATTTTTATTTTAGTACATCTTATATATTTACCAAAACTTACAGTAGAAAACTTACAATAAACTTTTCGTTTCTAAAAAATTCTCTCTGTAAAGAATTCAATTCTATTTTTCCATAGTTGCAGAACGTCGTGCTCTATTGATATATGAAATAAAAGAGAGAATTTTGTGGCTAAAATAAGCAGTTCTAAGCATTCGCCATGTTGCCATGGCAACGCTTACATTGACAAAACTGATTTCTAAATATTACACTGATGTTAGATATTGCTTCCCAGTGAAAAGAATGCACAATCTGCATTAATAGGCCTGTACTGTAGAGGAATCGGACAAATAAGGACAACTGTAGGGAGCCACCTTAAGCTAAAGTTAGCGATATAGGAAGCAATATGATGCCACAAGCTCTCAACATGCACATTTTATCCAATCTATTTTTTTCCGTGTAAGATTGCTTACAGCTTTACTGATAAAAATTATCCTCGTTTTAAGATGCTCTTTCCAGCTATGGTAATGGATTTCATTCTTCTTGTCTAGATCAAAATTTGTTTATAGCTGAAATCATCCGTTAATGCTTATGATATCCAGATGATCTTGATACGCGGAAAAGTACTGGCACTAGTTGTCAAATAGAAATCCATTTTGTGATTAAAACAACTGCATATCTCCCATAATATACTTTCTTTCGATTCCATATTTTTGTCAGAGCTATAGTTCTCATAACCAAACATAATTACAAAATTTCAACTAGTTTCATAAAGAATAACGAAAGATATAATTGACTGAATACATCAAAATGGATTTCTATTCGGACAACCTTTTCTGAGCACTGATTGGCTAAAATACGAACACGAGATCACCTGGATAAATAAAGCAAATTTAAAGTGAATTGATAAAGTTTATGATTTTCCTAAATTAACATAGCACGCCGGTCATATTCTGCAAATTTTCTCCCAGTACTGCAGGCTCCCATTTTCACGCAGACTTGCGTTGATAAATTGAAACTTTTGCATTTTGCATTTTGCACAGAACTGGCCACTTTCTGTAAGATGTCCGCTGACAATACGAACCCGGACAAATGCGAGAAATTTTGCTAAATTTGGCTAACGTGTAATTCTAATAGCCACTAGAGTTAGTTATAATTGTGTCCAAAAATAGCCGTTCTTAGAAATGTCATCAGTGTTGTACAGGGCAACTCCTGGCAATAGTTCGGAAGCTTGTTCCACAAAACTGATCCCTTGTACACAATGGACTTCATCATTATTTCTGTCGCGCCTAGCCTGCGAACAGGCTCTCAAGGTGAAATGAGTGCCTCCATCGATGACTAAAGAATTTGAATATTCGCGAAATCTCATTGGTCAGATGCTGTAATTTATATGTTTTTGCTGAGCTTTATATATGTCAACTGCTGAAGCACTATGCATAAAAAAACACAGTAACTGATCAAATTGGTCTTGGTCATCTTATCTCAAAGCACGAAATATTCTGTTGTGAGAAAACAGTATTTAAACATTTAAACTTTTGCTTGAATATCTTATATTTCGAAAAACAGTATAAACTGTACGGTCTAAATTTAGTTTGCACGAAAGTTGTAAACAACACCATATAAGGATAGACATTCCATATTTGGAAAAACGAACGTTACGGGGCAGATATTCAAATTCATTAGTCAACGATGCAGGCTCTCATCTCACCTAGAGAGCCTGGTCGCAGGCTATGCCGCGCCTGATGGTAAACTTAACCTGTTCTACACGCCTGGCATTTTTGCATGCGAAAACGCTAGTTCGCCATTCATTATGACCTGCGGTATTCTTCAAAAAATGCTGCGTAAGCATAATTAATTTGACAAGATGGCGGCCGTTCGAAATGGCAATTTTAGTCTTGACGAAGTCTTAAATCAAGATATTTTGAACGACAACTGTGTCGAACGGCCGGTAGATTATTTTCAGAAAGTAATGGAGGCCCTTGGTAGCTGCACTCGGGAGAAAAGCTGCCAAAACGACGTGTTTTTCGTGGATGAATGTGCCGAGCAAGTTGAAACTTTACTGGAAGCTCATGATTCTCTGGATTAAATGTGCCACGGAAGATGACTAATTCCATAAATCCAGCGCCAATACTACAAAGGGAAGCTCGGCTGTGGCTGGCAGGAATTCGACGGCGGATAGGGGGCAAAACGAGTATCAGAAACCCATATTTATTTACTCAGTTTATCATGTTTTCAATAATCGTAGGAAATGTTCAGGGTTTGTACGGATTCGTTGAACCGTTTTGTTTTCACTGTGATGTCAAGAAGGCTATTGTTATTTATTTTACTTTAATGCGCTTTGTCAACGAGTTATTTGCTTTATTATCTGGGTTGTCCAAGGATGTTGTGCCTGGCTACTTTGGGCAAAGTTTTTCAACTACAGTGTATATATGGATTGGAGAGTGGAATGTCAATGGATTTCCTCAGCATGTTTGCTAGTAATGTCTGAAATATTATAATTCATTAAAGTATAGTCAGGTATATTGTAACAGTTGTGAAGATGTATTCTCTCAAACTCTCTCGGCATTCACATTATGACATTATTAATTATTATAAGAGCTAAATAGCTGATAAATAGTGTATTGGCTGCCTCCATCCCTTCCTTTCTGTGATGGATTGTCACCCTTGGTCCCTTTATACCCAATGACTCTTCACAGCTGTTGCAAACATATCAAAACATTGTTAAGATAATTGGTAATTCTTAAAATGCCCATGCATAACCAGGGGCGGATCCAGACCGATGCCAACGATGCGAATGCATCGGTCAAAATTGAGAAATCATGTTGCTTGAAATAATATATGGATATATTATGCTGTCGTCAATACTTAGTCAAGCACTCAGTAATAGAATATCTTTGAATCTCTCCAGCTATCAAACCGCAAATATTTGCTTAAACTTGACCCCATGTGCCTGTCCATGTCAGGAATACACTATTTAGGATGAAATCCAATTTAAATTGTCTCAATAACAGTCGAAATTGTCAAAATAAGTCCAATATGCGACGTGCGATTGCAAATGTGTATTTTCTGTTATTTACTTTTTATCTTGCGACACTTAAGCGTGAATAATTTCGCGACAAAATATGTTATTTTTTACCGCATCCTTTGACGTCAGAGTAGAAAGCTGATGCATCACCTACGTCACGGTAGATTTGGTTTGCATCGATTTTCAGCCATTTTGCATCAGTGAATGCATCGGTCCCGAGTCCTTTTCCGCGTAAAATCTACTGTGACATCATCAAATCTATTGTTTTAGAGCCCTACGTCACGGTAGATTTGTCCGCTGAGCGATGCATCGCATGCAGATTGCGGGCGCTCGCATCAGTTCACTGATGCAAATTTCAAAATCAAAATCGACTGTGACGTAACGAGGCATTCGATTCAAGTCATGGCGGCAAGGATATGCAAACACTATATGCAAATGACAAATAATGCGAAGAAATATCCCTCGAATATGATGTAATGATGGAGAGCAATTAAGTTACAGTCGAATTAATTACCAAGGTTTGGAATGAATTTAATCTTTCAACTGAGCACAAGAATTGAAGTATATTTATACTGTGAGGATGTGAGATGCCCACTAACGGCCACTAGGGCTCTAAAGTAAGTGGAATTTATCTATATTTTACATTGTAGTACATTGTTCAGTTCAAGAAGTGTATAAAGTGGAAAATTGGCTCCACAGTTAATGTTGATTTGTATGTATTAACATAATAATTAAAGTTTGCGTCTATTTGATACTGCTGTTCATACCCGGAGGGGTGTGAGGTAGTTTGACATTTTAGACATTTTACAGTCTTTACAGAAGTTTGCTTGTCTGGAGGCAAACCAACCCCAATACCAAACTTGACAGCTTGCTTTATACTCAGGCAAATTTCATCTCTGTTTACATGGGATTATAACCTGTGCCCAGACCTTCATTTTTCTCACAGCTGGCGGGCAAAGAAAACTGAAGACCTGATAAAGTCACATGTTATTAAATGTTTGTGTCCTACAACTGCCTTTATGGTTGTAACCCTGATTGACTACTTCTAGCATGAGTATTCATGCCATATT